CATGATCTGCCAATAAACCATCCCCTGAGAAGAAATACTGGGAGATTTCCTGGGCCATTCCCAAAACACCCCAGCTCACCAAAATACCCCAACACCCCCAAAACACCCTAGCTCACCACAAAGGATGGAGGAGTCACAAAGACACCTCCAACTTGGAAGGAAACAGTCCCCAAATGAAGGTCTGGCCTCCAGCCCTGGGAAGAGCTCTATGTCCATTTCCACCCTCATCCTTCCAGCCAACTCTTGCACATGTGTGCATTATGGTCACCAGGCTAGCTTAGCTTTCTAAAAACAGTGTAACATTTGGAGACAGAGGATAGTAACAGCTCATGCCTACAAGAAGTGGCAAAATACTGATGGTGCCCTAAGCAATCCACTGAGAAATAACTGTAGGTCTCCAGTGGAGGCTAAAATTGTGGGGAAATCACATAAACCGCATAGACCATTTTCTCTATGCATGAGTGCTAGGTACCTTCTAGTGGCATTTCAGCTATTGCTCAGCCTAGAAGAGACACCAGAAGAGGCAAGAGGCCTGAAAAAAGGAGACTGGCTAGAAAGAGGCAGGACAGGCAACAAGCCAGCAGGAACTGCTGGGGGACAGGACTGGCTGGAGGAGGACCGTGGAGGGTGGGGGCAGCTGAGTTTGGCATTCACACTATGGACCACATGCTGAGCATTCAAAGGGCTGCAAGTGCAGGCACTGGAGATTTCAGATTCCCAGATTTGGGGGACAAGGAGCAGCTGCTGTCTCCCAAGCCAGCCCAAAGGACAAAGGCAGCCCAGAAGCCTGGCCAGTTGGGGTTTGGAAGCCTGGAGTCTAGAGGTGCTTTCACCCATTCCCCCACTGCCAGCTCTTTTCATCCACACCCCCACTGCCAGCTCTGTCCTCCTTTGGCATGAGAGGGTGTTAAGCTGCCTATCGAGTATCCCTTGAATGGAAACACCCCTGGCATGACAACCACGGTGACAAGGCCTTACATTGCCCAACTGCGAGTCGATGGTACAGAAGCCACTCTGCCACTCTGCACCACTCTGCACCACCCACTGGAGCCCCCCCACCCCAGCTGCCCAGACCTCTCCTGCTGCAAGAATAAGCAGATGCGGCAGAGGAGCCCAGCACACTTTATTCTGATATCCTGCCGGGAAAGGCGGGTGGAGTGCGGGGTGCACAGATCACCATCCCCGCCAGGGTGCACTCAGCCTGCCGAAGAGGGCTGGGGAGAGGCATATTCTCTCTCCCCAATCTTAGAGCCAAATCGGAAGAAGGCCCTGAAAAGCTTGGTTTCGGTCTGTTTTGCTGAACAAATCTCCTTGTTAACCTTTTCCGCCTTGATCAGGACGACAGGGATGCCTGCCTTCTCTCCGGGTGGCCACCTCCAGACTCTGCGGAGGAGCGGCAGGCGGCCCTGTGAAAAGCTGCCTAGACCTTGAAGTTCGGAAAAACAAGAGATTGAACGGGCTCCCTCCCTTCTTTGCAGACACACACGCACCGTCAGGCAGCCGCCACTTCCTGCCTTTGTTTTTCTTCCTCCAAACATTTTTGGCCTCTTGCATTAGCCGCCCTGGGGCTCCGGCTTGACGATTAAAGGAAATATACGCTGAAGAGTGTTTTCTGGAGATGGCCCGGCGCTGTGGAGCTCTTGTGGGAAGCCAGTCGCCAGGGCCAATGTCATAGTCTTGCCTGCCGCGGCAGCTTCACAAAGTGGAATTCGGACTTGGCCTTCCGGGATGGCCTTAGCCCCATTCAGTTCTTTCCCAGAGCCAGGTAGGTTCAGCTTGACTGTTGAGCCTCCTGCAAAGCAGAAGAGTCTGTAAGACTCAGCAAAGGTAAAGCCAAGGACCCGCAGTTCTGCCTCCCCTTCTTCCCCCATCTTTGGTCCAAACCTCGGGAGCAGCACCCATCCTTTTACCCCCACTGGCTGCCTGGAGAAACAGCCACACCACCAAGTATATTCTGCAAGAGTCGGGCAGGAGCACGCAAAACCAGGGGCATCGCACAGGCTTGGGGGATCTGAGCACCTCGACTTTTGTCCCCGCTGGGGGAACTAAAAGCATTCTGCAGCTCCAGGCGTTTTCCCTTCTGCTGCCATCAGAAGCCTTTTCCTTCATTCATCTTCACGGCAGCGCCCCCACACACCCTCTTCCAGGCTGCAAGTCCCTCCGGGCACCCAGCTTCAGTACAGCCTGTCAGATAGCCCTGCCAACCACTCCTGGAGTGCCTTCCTCTGACAGAGCCTTTCCTTGGGATTTGCCTTGTCTCCTGAAGATGCCCAAGGAATCCAAACCTGCCGGCACCCACTCGTCTTGGCCCTCGAGGAGGACATAGGAGGCAGTGGTTATTCAGAACAGCACACAACCCCATACTGACCTTTCTGTGGGGACACCCTCTCCTTGGCACCAGAGGAAGCCGATCTAATTAATTGAGGGGCTGCATGCAGCCGGGGGAGGTGGCCTGGCGTCCCCCACTGGCGGGCGACTGCAGCCCCACTGCTCAGGCACAAGCTGAAGTTGACTGCCAAAACTGCTATAAAACCGCAGGTCTGTCTAGAACTGTTTTCGGTTCTCCTAGACGCCCCCGGGTTCAATTATGGTCTTAAAAGCCCTAATACAAGTGCAAGAATTTGTTTGCCTTCACCCAGGGGCGGGGCGAGCCCTGCAATGGTGGCGCCTTTGTTATGGCAAAGTCACTGAAACCCTTCATGCATTCCTTTTGTTCCAGGATAGGGGTGGCGAGGACTGGGTGGGCTGCTGGGAGAGAGTTTGGGATAGTGAAAAATTGAGCCAAGGAACCATTCAAATATGGCTGTTTGAAACCTCGTTTCTATCTTTTATATTCCGCCTCCAAGAAAGGGATACTGTGGAGAAACAAATATTTTGCCTTGTTGGTCGCTGCTGGAAATAGAAGTTTTTTCGCTGCAGGGCAACCCCATAATTGTGATTCCCAGCTTTAGGAGGTCCCAAGCTACCCTTCCCCAACAACCTTCTCTCCAACTGGAGCTTCCCACTCTGGCCGATGCTGCCTTCTACACGAGCTACAGTGGACGAATGTGTCAAGCTGAAGACGCACAAATAATTTCAAGTTCAGCTCTCAGACATTCGAGGGGCATGAAAGTTCTTGCAGCAAATCCTGAATAAAGAGTTCATTAAACCAATGTGTCTGACTGGCTTGATTTGTGATAAGCAATCCTTGTAAAGGGGGAAAGCCACATAAACATTAATGCTAATAAATTAGTTTACTCCACTACAGAGTAATTACTCGATATTATTGATATTTACAGTGGGTATTCAAATGCAATGGCGGGTCATTATTTGGAGAAAATACATAATGAGAATATTTCTTTTCCAGTGCAATACATGATTAAATTTGTTATTGAGTCAGTTACAGTCAGCTCAGCAATAAATAAATAAATCGATGTTGACACTTAAATACCAAAGATCTTAGAGTTTATACTCTAAATCTCCTCAAGATATGTAAATACCTTCAGCTATTTCCTGGACAGGGAAAGGCTTTTCATTTTTCATTTTTTAATTTTTCTTCTGTGACACCCCAGCTCCTTCTAAAAACAGTGTTAGGGGAGGCCCTAGGTGTGGGTCTTCTCCCTGTTCCTGCCCGGCTGCTCTACGCCCTCTCACTTCTTTCGTTTCCCCAAAATATTCTTCCTTCAATCCTACTGAGTAGTAATGAGCATTATTTTGCTTTCTTAATTCCTCTGTTTCCTCCTCCTGAGAAGGTAGGTTCACACTAGCAGCTATGGCCTCCGACTCTATCTTTAGCACAAACCTGGCCTTTCCAAGGTATCCTTAATTGCCCAAGGTGCGGGAGTTGGAGGAGCACCTCTCTTTTCTTTGGCGTTGTGCGCCTTCTCTGGAATGAGTGGCAGAAAGACACAGAGCTTTCTGAGTTTCTGCCTTGCACATCCCTTGCTTTCGCTCTCTCACTTTGCAAGGAAGAAGAGGAGGCAGAGTATCCCTTTCTTAGCCAGGACTCCTCAGCCATCACGCCCTCCTTGCCACCCCCATTTTCTCCACAGCCACAAGCAGCCTGGGGGAACCCCCCTCCCCAAAGGTCCAGCATACCCAGGAGAAGGCTCCTCGGATGTCAGCTCCTCTAAAACAGCCCAAGGCTTGCCTCAATTGCATGGTTTCCAGATTCCTCAGCTCCAGAAGACCAGGCAGACGTGCTGACCAGTGAGCAGAGGCGCAGCCCCCGCGCCTCTGGCTCTGCCGAGTCACTCCGAGCCCCGGTAGGCAGCGAGGAGAAGGGGGTTTCTTCAAGGACAAGGGGTGGGGTGAGGAGGCGGGCAAGGAGCATGAAGGGAAAGGTGGATCCCGGGTAAGACGAAGGCCCTTCCGGACCCGTGGATCACTGACAATCCGCGGGGAAAGCCGCCCTGGCTGTTGGCGGTTTAGGGACGGAAGGCACTAAAGCGCTTCGGAAGTGACCATGAATGCGAGCGTGTAATCAAGTCACCGTGCAAATCAGACAAGCCACGAGGCCAGCACATCCACGACTACGAACCCTGCCCCCGAATGGGGTCTGGCCAGAGTCTGAGGCTGAGGTGCTTCTCAGAGCAAGCCTGGGGTGGGGGGCTGGGAAGAAGGGGGCGCGACCCTAAGCCTCCAGGAGAACCGACTCCCCGACCACGGGCCACTCAGCTCAGGGGTTCCACCTGGCCACCCCTAGCACACAGCATCCCTCACCCACCCGAGGAGTGGGGGTAGGGGCGACGGGAATTGAGTTTCTCACCGCCCTAGGCGCATTCGAGGGCTGGGACCGTGCAGCTGAGCAAAAGCGAGCTGCACGGGGGCGCACCCCAGCCTCGCCGCGCGCCGGGAGGCCCCCCAGCCAACATGAGTTACACCGGCGATTACGTGCTTTCGGTGAGAACACCGAGTGACGATCTGTTGCTTCCCCTGAGGTGGCTACAAAGAAAGGAAGCCGAGGAGGGAGGGGAGGGGGGAAAAAAAGGAAAGGGGGGAAAAAACGCCCGGACTAGCTCGCAGCTTGTCAATTTCAACATCGGGTCACATGACCAGCACCTCCTTGCTAAGGATGGGGATAGATTTCCACGTCAGCTTACGTCTCCAAATTTCTACTTCACGGATCCGCTTCAAAGAGGCAGCTGCAGTGGAGAATCATGTTAAGCTCGGCTACTGCGGAGAGCCCAAGGTAGCCCAATGATGGATTTTGATGAGCGTGGTCCCTGCTCCTCTAACATGTATTTGCCAAGTTGTACTTACTACGTCTCGGGTCCAGATTTCTCCAGCCTCCCTTCTTTTCTGCCCCAGACCCCGTCTTCGCGCCCAATGACATACTCCTACTCCTCCAACCTGCCCCAGGTCCAACCCGTGCGCGAAGTGACCTTCAGAGAGTACGCCATTGAGCCCGCCACTAAATGGCACCCCCGCGGCAATCTGGCCCACTGCTACTCCGCGGAGGAGCTCGTGCACAGAGACTGCCTGCAGGCGCCCAGCGCGGCCGGCGTGCCTGGCGACGTGCTAGCCAAGAGCTCGGCCAACGTCTACCACCACCCCACCCCCGCCGTCTCGTCCAATTTCTATAGCACCGTGGGCAGGAACGGCGTCCTGCCGCAGGCTTTCGACCAGTTTTTCGAGACGGCCTACGGCACCCCGGAAAACCTCGCCTCCTCCGACTACCCCGGGGACAAGAGCGCCGCGGAGAAGGGGCCCCCGGCGGCCACGGCGACCTCCGCG